TAATATTAATCTTCAATCATCTAAATTTATGTTCATTCTAAATTGCTTCTTTGAAATTTAAGACTAGATGGATCTAACATATATTAATTTATTTTTAAAATATTTCATAAATTTATTATGTTTTCTGACTCCAGAAATGTTTGTGATATAATTTCATATTAGTGGGCTTTTTCTTATCAGCTGGCCCCAACGGTCTATTTTTAGAAATAAAACAGAAATCATGATAGAATGGTTTTTTTGGTGTGCATACAAAACAAACAAACAAAAAACTCCCACACAGCTCTGTAATAAAGTCCTTAAATTTTAGTATTTTGTCAATTCCAACAAAATTCTGTACTAATCCCAAACAGTATTTTCAGAATCTCTGTCACCGAAACATAAAGGTGCTCTTAAAAACATACTGGACTGACATGTTAAAGAAAGAAGCAAATACCTCTATCTCCTTTTGTTCTATTCTGCCATAGTCAGGGGAAGTGGGGCTGGGAAGTGCAGTTACCTGTGCCAAATTCCTGATACCATACAAAGGCATTAGCACCGTGGTAACTTGTCTCCATCATGAAGATTATCAAATCTGTCCCTTACTGTGTACATAAACCATTCCCCACTGAGAGGTGTATGCTATTCCTTCACCCACTCAAGTACGGGTTATCTTGCTTTGATCAGCAGAATATAGCAGAAGTGACAGTGAGGCTTCTGAGGTTAGGTGATAGGCAGCTTGCAGTTTCTGCTTAGGTGTTTTGGAATACTCATTCTGGGAGAAGACAGCTGACACATAAAAAGACTGACTAGCTAAGGTCGCCATGTTGTGAGGAAGTACAATTAGCCAAGAGAAGAGTCCTCATAGGGTAAGAGATTGTTGACCAACCCAGGTGATGAACATGTCAGTGAAGAGCCCACCTGCAGGACCTGAAGAAAGAGCTGCCCAGCAATCCTCGGAACTGGGAGACATAATTGTTGTCTTAAGCCACAAATTTTGGGGGGTTTACTAGGCAACAATTGATAACCAGAGCAGAACCTCATTAAGAGAGAAAGTAAAAGATCTCCCTAGTGTCTTCAGGTGTCCGAGTTGCCAAATTTCAAGTCCTTTCTCCATTTCTTATGTGAAAAGAAATGCAGCTAGGACTTTGGGATGCTGAAGTGGGAGGATTGCTTGAGGCCAGGAGTTCAGAACAAGCCTGGGAACAAACTGAAACCCTGTCTCTACAAAAGAATTCTTAAACAATTTACTGGGCATGGTGGTGTATGCCTATAGTTCCAGCTCTAGTGAGGTAGGAGGATCACTAGAGCCCAGGTGTTCAAGGCTGCAGTAAGCTATGATCACACTACTGCACTCCAGCCTGAGTGACAGAGTGAGAATCCATCTCTTTAAAAAAAGGAGAAAGAAATGGAATAGTATGCAGCCATGAAAAGGATAAATATACACACATATCTGTACATATAACTTTTATCACAGAAAATTGTTTATGGCTTTGTTTTGAAAAAATATAAAAAAGCATAGCTCAAATTTGTTCTCAATTATGTAATAACATGCATAAAAAGTACATCAAAAGGAATCTGTCACCAGGGTAAGACTTATTGCTACTAAGATGTGGCATATTCAGTGATCTTTATCCCCAACCCCCCATTTATTTTTCCTATTCTGAACTTTCAATCCTACAATGAGTACATATCCCTTTAATAATCAGAAACATAAACCTTTAAACTTTTAAAAAGAGCCACAGGCTGGGTGCAGTAGCTCACATCTGTAATCTCAGCACTTTGGGAGGCCAAGGTGGGAGGATCACTTGAGCCCAGGAGTTCATATCTAACCTGGGCAACACTTTTTTCTACAAATAAAAATAAAAAATTGGCTAGATATGGTGGCACATGCGTATGGTTTCAGCTACTCATGGGGCTGAGGTGGGATGATTGCTGGAGCCCAGGAAGCTGAGGTGAGGTTGCAGTGAGCTGTAATCACACCACTGCACTCCAGCTTGGGCGACAGTAGGACCCCTACAACCCAAGCATAGCAACGAAGAGTTATGCTGAACTAAGTGCTAGTTCTTATAGGAAATAAAGGTTATTATTCAGTCCAAGACAAGAGTTACTTATTCAGATCATTGTCTTCCAGGCAAGAGAAAACCAAGTTCAGAGTTGACTCAAATATTATAGTCTCTAGGGTAAAGCTGATTCTAATGTTTTATTTCCATGCTTCCTTATTGGAAGAACTAAATTTCCCTTGCTCCCCTCCCTCTATACTTTGAACCTGCAAGTTCAAGACAAGGATTTACAGCTGAATCTTAGCCCCTGGTATGACAAGGTTCCTAATAACAGTGTCTGTCTATGCTATGAAGACAAAACATGGGCATAGGCAATGTGCCCCAGCACGTTACATACTCACCCGTGCAACTACTTTCCTGGTGAAAGTAGCCATCTGGGCAGTGGGAGAGGCACTGCCCATCCAACAGCACATGGGAAGGCCCACAGTCTGTGCAGTTATGTGGGCTTTTCCCTGCACATCTGAAACAGGACTGGTGGCAAGCTGGGGGAAAGATTAAGCAAAGGAGACAATCAGGAAAGCCCCATGTGACATAGACAGTAACTGTATCTCTCCCATTAACATTCCCGAGTTGGAGTATGTTCTGCACATTCGCTTGGTTTTCCCAGGGACAGGTCGTACATCTCACACACTTCTCTCTAAAGGCAGTCACCTGCAAAGCAAGCATTTGTGTAACCCAGATTAAGTAAACCACAAGTGCCACAAAACAGAAATAAGCATTTGCAGAGTCATACATTTCTTTCTTCCCAAATTCCCATTCTCAGAGAATGTCATAAAAAACAGGAAGCCAGAAAATAGTTCTTACTCTGGAGACAGCTCTCTCACTATCACTAGATACTCTGATGCTTATTGGGTTGCTCAAATCAAAGAGAAAAGCTGGTGGAAGCTTCACTTATTGATTCCACATAGGTTTATAAAGTGCCTACTCTGTGATGAAGACTGGACATACCAGATGAGAACTGCCCAACATGCTGAGCTGCTCAAACTAGTTGTGACAGACACACAAGCAAGCTACTGAAACAGAATGAATGAAAGACAGAGTACAGCACAGACAGTAAGAGCATCACATCATAGCTCTATATGACTTTGATTAACTCATTTATCAAGGCTCCTGCTTCATCTATAAAACAAGGATGGAAACAGAACATACTGCATGGGGTGCTGTGGAAACTTATTGGCCTAATGCATGTGAATTCTTAGCATAGTGCTGGACACATAACAGGGGCTTAATAAATCTTGGCTACAATCATTAACATTGAGTGCTATGTTAGAAGTACCCACAGGTAAAAAGAGAGTAAAGGCAAAGAGAAAGAAAACATCACTGCTTGCGTTCATCAGACCTTTAATAATAAAGGTGATACTTGTGTGACTTCTCAAGGGTATCCACTGTTTTAATCATGCCTTTTTATGTTCTATATTTTTGATTCTTTGACATCTGAAACAATGCAGATTTTGGAGAGACTGACCCTCCTGGGGCTATATTCCTAGAGCTAGTAAATGATTCACTTGGGAGCACACCTTTCAAATAAATGCAAACTGATCCAGAGCTCACACTGCCACCACCTCCCTTATCATGTTCTTACATTCCAGCCTACTATCCTCCTGCCTCAGAGCCAGGTACTAGATAAACAGAGACAGTCTCTATACCTCACAGACCACTGTAATTATCCCAACTAGCCAATCCTAACCCTGCTTCACCCATCCCTTTCTACTGACGCTAGAATAGTCTCTTGCCCATGTTTCCCACCTCCACCTTTGTCTCCTGACTAACCCTGGTGCTTCCCTTTGTGGCCCTTCATGCCATGAGGTGTCCCTTCCTCTTGGGAGCTGTGAGTAGCAAACTTTTCAATGGCAACAGTTTCCTGATCTGCTGGCCTCGCCACACCTGAATAATAAAACCTGCCTGTCAAAACAACCAGCTGTTGTTGTCATTCATTCATTGTTGAGCCTCAAAATAGCTTCAAGTACTGGGGATACAATGATGAGTAAGACAAAGACCTGCTCTTCATGCAGATGACCCCATGTATTTCAGGCCATCTTCTGCCCAATGGACAAGATCCACCAGACTGCAGAGACATTCTCTGAGTACATTCACTGTGCCCCAGCTGGCTTTGAAGGACCAGAAGTGATTTTACACCACTGAGATCTCCACTGCCGCCAACCCCTAATAAAATGTAACATAGGATCTTTTATACAGATAGCGAGCTCCTGTTCAGCTAGGACATCCTGGGCCATCAGTACTGGTGGTTAAAGTATTGAACTACTTCCAGGCAGACTTGATATGACTGTTGCCCTAAGCCTGCCAATGCTCTGCTGCAGCCTTGACCCCATACCAAGCACCCTGTCCCACTCATAGCCTGACACCTACAGGCTAATACCCATACCAGAAGATTCCCAGGACTCTGCTTCTGAACTGAGGTCAATGCCATTCTCACTGGGCAGTGCCCAGGCCTTACTGGTTAATAAATACTTGAATCATCATCCCTGGATATACTATAGAGCTTTATTCAAGTGTATTTTTTTAAACTATATGATAAACAGAACCTAAAGACCTATATATTTTAATTAATGTTATTTTTCTTCAATTAGATTTTATTTTTAAAAGTTATATAACAGCCCTATTAGCATAAGTCACAGTAAGGAATTTTTTCCCAAGTATTTGCAGACTCCTCTTAAAAAAAGGAACAAGTAAATTGATGTTTAAGAAAATATTTATAAAGGAACGATATACATTAGCATCTTATTTAAGACATGTTTAACACAAAATGAAACAGTCTGTAAAGGAAAGTCAGGTGGCAATATTTTAAAACACAGCTAAATAGTATTGTTAACACAAAGCTTTGCAGGATAATATAGGGAAAGCACCTTTTTTTTTTTTAATTGTGAAGCTGTTTATCAAATGTTTTTTAAGAGAATTTACACAAGAAAGTTTTGACCCCACCAAAAATAATATGCCTGAACGTTAAACAAAATTCACATTTTATTTAGATTGAAATAAACTATACAAAATTGATTTTCTTCACCAAAAATAACAGCAATATTTTCCATATTTTTCTAAATAAACAACAAAACTTATTTTTGTAGGTTTTCCAGGTTCTGCTTAAAAATCAAGATGAGGCAGTAGAAAAGAGTCATGGAAAAAGAAAAAAATAAAACTAGACAAATCAGTTGTCAGTATCCATGGCCTCTGATTCCGCCTTAACCATGAAACAGAAGTGTTCAACATATACCTGCTAAAAAGCTTAGGAAGATGTGGGCTCCACAAAGGAATGTGAACAGCAACAAGACGTGGAACAACGGCAGGCTCTTCCAGTCAAACGCTAACTGTCATTTGTTCCTTTATATTCATTTGAGAAAGACAAAATCTACACTGAAATCCTTGTTTGGCAAGCTCACAAGCTGTTCTCCAGTAATTTCTTGTAACTGCCCAGTATAGATTTTTAACCTGCTTAAAACTCCTATTAGTCAAAGGTCAAGTGTGGGCTTCACTATAACATTTTATAAAACGTATTCCTTCCTCCTACACCTCTTCAAAATATATTTCTTCAAAGAATTCATATTACCCAACAAGTAGACATCCACAGGGATAATAAAGGCTGTGTCTAAAATGACTTAACTGAAACAATTCCAGAGTGTCACCAGCAGAGATCACACAGAAGGAAACATGGTTTGTTCTCTTTGAAGACAGATAGGTCTTCAAAGCATGAGAGTTCAAACAGAGGCCATTTAAACAGGTAGATTATCAATGACTAATGTTTTAATGGAGTCCTGTAGGCAAAGATATTTAGTGATTAAGTGGCCTACATACACTTTACGGTTTTTCTTCCAAATATCAAATATAAGAAAGCCTATTTTTATAAGTCTCTTAGGTATTTTCCATGGTTTCTGAATTATCTGTGGGAAGCTCTTACTTACTTGTATAAAGCTTAATATATGGGTCCACCATTAAATACAAGTCGGGGTTTATATAAAAATTTATGTTAAGCAAAGCCAAGTTACTCGACCTTTGGTCTGCCACAGCGTTCCTCACATATGCTTTAGGACGCTTTCAACCATTTCCATACCTCTCATTCTCAACCTTCATCACAGGAATAATACACAGGACCTTCAGCAATGCAGGCACATTAGGAAAAAACTTGACGTCAGGCAGGTGGAGGGCTTCACAGATGGTGGATAGAAGCTCTATATCTTTCTCTCTGCGTTTCCATTTGATTCTCCAACAACAAAACTTGGCTGAGGGCATGGTAGGATTGGGTAAGTCACTTCTGTACACATCAGCATGGTGTTTCTCCAGCGTATTGAATTTGAGTTGTCCCATGCCTGAAAGTAAGAGCTGTGAGGTGCTGTTCTGAGAATGTATCTTTAAGTTCTTGAATAATGTGCTCCATTGTTGGGACACTTAGGGTTTCTTTTATAGTAACTCTCAGAGGTTAGCTGAGATTCCAAGTTACCCTGGTAGCATGGTGGAATTTCCCAGGGAGTTGCATTTGAATATCAAATTTGGTTGCCAAATTTGTGGCTTCTTTAAACCAAAGTTCATGATAAACTTCAATATTTTCCATCACATCATTGAGAGAATGCAGTAGTGCAGTCAAGCTACAGGCTGCAAGGAAGACATCAGAGGTTTGCCCCTGGAGATTTTTCCCAAAGGCTCTTGTAAAAGATCGGACATTTTTAAGAACAATAGTAACAATGAAATCAAAATGTGCTACTGCACTGCAGAGTACAAATCCTTGGCCAATTATACAGTTATTCCATCTAATATTTATGTCACTATTGATACCATTTAAACATAAAACAATTGCTCGCAGGAGTTCTACCAAAATTTCAAAAGCATCATCCCTGCCTGTCCACTGAGAATGGCAGATTTCCCTCAGTTCTTCACCCCTTTCTTTACTTTTCTGAAAGAAGAACAGAAACGACATTGTCAAGTTCTAAAAGCAGTTGTGGTGATTGATGGGAAAAAGGAAAAACTTTCTCAATTGTTCCTAATGCAACAGATACTCCCATAACAGGTACTGATTTTACCAACCACATATTTAAAGCACAGAAGAGCAGACTGTGAAGATAGCTTAGAGATATTTCTCTAAAGGCCAGAAGCAACAACTTTCATTTTGGAAGAAAATCCACTAGACACAACATAAGCCTGGCCACAATACTCATATTTAACCCCCACTTCTCAGTTATCGCAGTGTGAAATTTCACAGCCAAAATTTCTGCATCAGCTTCATAAGGCAGGAAGCTTACAAATTCCTCTCTTAGGTTATGAGATTCTTTGACAAACCTCACCAACACAGGCAGGTGCCCTTCCCCTGCTAGGTCCACTACATCGTCAGTGATAATGGAAAAGAAGGGTGAGTCTCTCACTTCCCTGAGAGTTTCTTCTCAAATACAGCTCTCACAGATTTCTAGCATCTGCCTCTCCTGTGTTTTTGAACAAAACTTGTTAACTGCTGTTGTCTCAAAGCACTTTCTCAGGATCCTTCACCAGAATTTATCCGGCACTCCAGCAGTGCATGAAAGTTATCTGGAGTAAAGAGACCTTCTGGGATTTCATTAGCCTCATGTCCATTCAAAAGTATGTTTTGCTTTCCCATAAGAACCAAGATTTCAAATAGAGATTTTAGGTATTCTTTGTTTTCCGTCTCTTCAAGGGTTAGAGGTAAAATGTCTCATCTTGCCCTTCATCCACTTCTTCACTGGCGTTTTGAGCATTGCTATTGTTGGTTTCTTTATGTTTTTGTTCCTGTTCAGAAGTTTCATCAGTTTTTTTCTGTTTCAGAGTCCTGATTTCGAGTTCACTCAGTTCTTTTATTCACTTTCCTTGTCTATTATGTGGGTTGTCCGAATGACTGGCAAGATCACATATTGTTGGTATTGCACTACCTTGAAGAACTGTCCAATAAGGACTCTCCCCATGACTTCACAAGTATCTGCTTCAATTAATTTTAAAAAATAAAGCAACCCAATCATTCCTTAGTTTTCCAATGCCTCTGCAAAATGTATAGTTCTACAGATCACAGAGGTCTCAAAATGTTTGGCACATAATCAATAATGTTTATTTAGCTAATCAGGTGTCTTATCTTCTAAGTCTGCTCTCCTACAATTCTCCACCCACTCGTGGCATCTGGCCAGGTCCCTGGGGAACCTGAAGAAAGCTAGGTTGGACTGGGAGCTCCTTCGCGTGCAGGTGAGGGCAGCGCAGAAGTTCACCATAGTGACCTGCCCGCCAGCTGGCAGGCCCAGCCTTCCCCTCCCTGCCTCCTCAGGGCAGTCTGGCTACCCTTCCACGCTGGAGAGGGGAGCCAGGCTGCCCAGCCGGTTTGGTAGGGCTGGTGCACGGGACTAGGGGAAGCATCTTGAGTAACACATTTTTGCACAACTAAATGTATGTCTGATTATACCATTAGGTTTGTATCAGACTTTACAAGATTGCTAAAATCCTTAGCTCTTCCTGTTATACCTTTCTAATAAAGAGGAAATGAAAGTATATCACTGTGGAATTGAAAATTGGAGAAAGATTAATTAATGCATTATAAGTATAAACATTTTATTTCATTTGGTCACAAAATAAATGTAATAGCCTGGCTCAATATGCATAAAGGTTATTTTTCAACTACATATAACAGGAAAGTAAAGAGTTGAAAGGCTCATGGGCCAAGAGGTCCAGAAGAAAGTCCCTTTGCATCCACTTGATTTTAGAAATAAGCTCCAAAGAACGTTTCCATGACAATCTTCAGAAGACTTCATTGGAAATGTTTAAGAACTAACTAAATAATGAACTAGTTAGTTGCTACGGGTAGAGAGGGAAAAGAATATGCTGGGTGACGATCCTCTTAAAGTATCTTTTTCTCTATAATCCTCTGTTTCTGCAAGGACAGGCATTAACATCTGCATCCTTTAAAAAAAAAAGTCATGAAACTTCAATTCCGTGCTGGTTTTAGAAATATCGACACTATTTCAGTGACTTATATGAGGCTTAATCATTCCATGGAAGCCGATTTCATAGCAGGAGTTCTGTCTGAAGTCTAAGATCCTTCAAGGAAGACTGAACCCATTACAGAGCATATGCAGGAGATATCTGAAATAAGTTCTATGAATAATTCCTCCATGCAATATTACATTTTTAAAGACTGGCTTTCCAGTTGATGTTTAAGTACGTATATTTCTGAAAAAGCATAGGTGAACCTCTTAAGCACTAAAAAGCATCCTTAGATGACTGTAAAGTCCAGTCAACCTGATTTCAGCAAAAACTATACCTAAAAAGTAAACATATTAATTTTTATTCATTCTATTATCAATGTATATTTCAAACAAGCGATACTACTATTTTTTTTTCTTTTTAATGATACAAAAAAAGTGATAAAGTGTTCCTACTCTCATATCATACAAAAGGTCTTGGCTTTTCATGTCAAAAACAAATTTTGAGGAGGGCTTCTCTCAAAATATGTAGATAACAAAATCCTCTAGACTCACAATGGGAGTACTGCGACAAGGCCTAAAAATTGAAATGAGTAAAGTTAATCAAAATTGATCTCCCCCTTGCCCTTGCCCTCCTTTTCCTTCTTCTTGTTACTTTTTGTTTTTTGTTTTTTCTTGGTAAAAGAGCTTTGCTCTGTCATTCAGGCTGGAGTTCAGCAGCATGATCACAGCTCACTGAAGCCTCAAACTTCAGGCCTCCAGCAATCCTCCTGCCTCAGCCTCCCAAACCACTGAGACTGCAGGTGCCGGCCACTGTGCTCAGTCTTTTTAAATTTTCTTTTTTTAAATGAACATGATTTAACATCCCAAATCTCTTACTCTGACTAGATTAGAAACTCTTTAAGAGTAAAAATCACATTTTTTAAATCTCTGTGATCCCTGCAGTGCCTATCACAGTCCGTGTCCCTGACATACCATAAACTCTCAATAAATGAATTTCTGTTGACTAAATAAGTGGCCAGGTAGGTGTGTGGGTGGGTGGATAGATGGATGGAAGCATAGGTATCATACTTATTTAGTTCTTCTCTCTTTGAAAATTTCTTTCAGCCTCATTCTCTAATATTTTTCTAAACATTGGCGCTTCCCCCAATTCTACCCTTTGCTCTTCCTTTTCTTACCCTTGGGCAAACTTTTCCCTAGATTTAATGATGACCTCCATGCTAGTAAGTCCTAAATTTCTGTGTACAGCTTTGGCCTTTATCCTGAACTCTGATCACATAAATCTACTACGTAGGAGATATCTCTTCTTGGTGTTTCAAAAGTATCTCATATTCCTCACTTCCAAAATATTACCCTGCATCTACTTTTAAGCTCAGCCCATATCCACTTAACGTAAATTGTGGACATCAGTCCAAAACTATACTCTCTCTCCATCTCCAACGCCACATTCTACTTCTCTACCTGATATTTTTTTGGTATTCTCTATCTCACTTGGTATCTCCATCATTCACCAAGTTACTCATGCTGAAACCTTGGCATTATCCTACACTTTTACTTTTCCCTCACCACAACCATTTAAGCTGTGCTGATTTTACTTCCTAAATCTCTGTCAAATCTATCCCACCTTCCCACGGCCCCTTAGTACAGACCTTCAACATCATTCCTGACTTGGGTTAGTACAGTGCTTCCTAACCAACCCTACCCTGTTTCTACCTATTTGTCTGCCACACATCCACCAGATAGATATTTATAAAATATGAATTGACCAAATTATTTCCTTATTACAATCTTTTAGTAGTTTACCAGTACCAACAGTGTGAACGCTAAACTCCTTAGCACAGAACATGAAGCACTTCGTGTAATGTCCCACACACACACCACATCTCCAACGTCATTCTGAACAATTCTCCTCTTTGGACTTTATACTACAAGAATACCGAACACATTGCACTTCTCCAAATACACCTTTGCACTTACTGTTTCCTTGGCCTAGAATAACCTTTCTCACCTTCTTCGCCTGGTGAACTCCGATTAATCTTTCAAAGGCTTAATAATGGAAAGTTTTCCTTCTACAAATCTTTCCTCACTATCTTCTCTCCTAGACAGAGCCATCTCCTTTGTGCTATTTCTGTCCCTTGTGAATACTGCTATTTTGGCATGTGTCATCCTCTTTTAATTACTTGCTTAGACATCAGTCTCTCCTACTTGATCATGGTTTCCTTCAGGCATGTTTCATAGCTTTTTCATCTTCCTATCCCCAAAGCCTGGCACACCCATGCTGTAAAAGCAAGAAGGGGAAAGTGAAGAAGACTGAACGTTACCAGAAGGCACCTATTTGTATAGCGCATGTCAGCACTCTAGGGACTACATTAAAGGGCATTGCTTAATATAGATTCCATATGCTTGATCCAATTAATGTTAGGGAATTCCAACTTCATAAATGGTAACATACTCTTAAGCTGTGCAGGCAGATTCCTGCCCACATATTTCTTTAATTAAAACTCTTTGCCTTGAGGCCTTTGGTGAGTCTTAGCAACAACTAAATGATCAAAATACACACAGCATGCTTTACTTCTTCCCATTCACCTAAACCAAGTTAATTAATTGACCAAAATACTGGTGAATTTAAAAAAAAAAGAAAAAGATACTAAATCTGTAGCAATTTTGTGCAACCTTGCTCTGTACAATAAGACCCAGCCCTAGGAGACTGGAAACATTTAGTTGCAGAAATTCCCCTGACAAATCCCTGACCAAAGCTCCATCACCAATCTAAGTACAATGAAAAGGCAGGGATGGGACTGCTGGGATGTTTATTATCTCTGCATTTTTTTTGAAACACTGTGTTTTTTCTGAGATAATAAATTAGACAATGTGTAAGTAACACTCATTATTGTTGTAGAGTTCATTTTAAAAATAAAAACGTGTAATTTCTTCAAAATTATATCATCTTGAATCATGCTGAATTGCATGAAAACTGAAAGACTCCATTATTAATTTGCCACAGAATTGGGGCAATTACATGGCTAATCTAATCATCCTGACCATGTTAATATCCAGTCCCAGTCACCACTGCCAAATTGTTTAACGGCAACTCAGCTGCATTATTAATTGGATGGCCTGACCTGAAATTAAATTGTAAAGCTCTAGTGTAGCAAAAATACCCAAAAAAAAAAAAAAAGAAAGAAAAGAAAAGAAGTGCTGGGCAAATATGTCCTATAGTAGAACCCAGGATCCCTCATTGCTAAATCATTCTTTACATGGTTCCTTCTAAGTATAACTTTTTCCATCTATAAAGCAGGAGTAGATATGTGAAAGCTCTCAAGATTTTCAACAAAATTATTTGCTGTAACGACTTTCTAAACTATAAAGGGATACGTACATACGTGTGTGCGCGCATGCATGTGTTACATAAACAACTGTAAGAATTTATGCTATAAGATTAAAAGTAGTAATCTCAAAATGAAAGGGTTACGGGTAGTGTTACTAGATAAACACAAGACACTCAGTTAAATTCAAATTTCAGTTAAGTGATAAATAATATTTTAGAATATCTTACACAATATTAGGGATATACCTATATTATAAAAATTATTCATTTTTAAAAACTTGCTAAATCCTGAATTTGTATTTGATCTAGTAATAGGTATTATTTCTCTTTTTTCCCTTATTTATATATTTTTAAGTTCCTATAATATGTATAATACATGCAGTGAGGAAAATACAAAAACAGGGATGTTTTACTAACTGTTTAAGAGAGAAAGAAGCATACCAGTGATATGCTACTTCTTCTTTGATTAGAAGCTTTGCTTCTCCAAACTGTGGTCCACGGATCAACAGCATCAGCCTCACCGCGGAGCATGTTATAAACGCAGCAACTCAGACCTGACCCCTGCCCTACTGAATTTCAATCTACATTTTAACAAGATTCCCAGGAAAGTCCCATGAGAAATTCTGTTCCAGAGAGTCCTCAAATAAAAGTTAATTCTTCAAAAGCATTGAACATTTTAAAAGGAAAAAAAAATCATTCAACCACAGTGGAAGGAGAATTAGAGACTGAGCTGAGCAATTTAGATCCAAGGAACATCAGTAGCAAAGGCCTCCAAGAGACATAGAGCTCTATGTCCTTTGCTCTGTCTCTCCATCCCTGGGCTGCCATGTACTGCCACATTGGTTGTCACTAGTGACTCCAGGAGGAGCCAGGCACAAAGGTTGCTATGAGAATAGCACCTTTGGGGTCGTGCAGCAGAGCAACCCCTCACCCTGCAGACCTCATCTAGATTCACACTCACAGAGGCATGGGAACCAGTGAGGGAAGACTGATAAAAAAGTAAAAATGCTTTTCTCACGTTGGTCTGGAGGATACAGGTTTTTGTTAATTTGTTTGTAATTTGTTTAGTTTTTTGTGCAAGGGGCTGACGTGTATTTTTTGGGTTGGGTTTGCTTTTTTTAATTAAGTCACTTGAATCCATCAGTGCTAGATCAGGTGAGATCAACTTGATGAAATTACTACAATTGCTACAATTCTTCTTTTAGCTAATTTTCAATGGAAATATTTAATAAATATGCACAATTCAGACTGATTATTGAAAATATCTCCAATCTTTTACAATTAGCAACAAACCCTCTTTTGTGCCAGCAATTTTAGCTACACTTTGGAAGAGGCTCTGTGCAAAAGAAACCTGAAGTCAGAGTTCTGCCTTGTGAAGCACCCAGTTCATTTTTTTTTTTGAATGAGCCAAAGCATAGGACAAAAGCATGCAAGTGGCCCTCCCCATCTTTCCAGAGCTCTTCTGCTTTCGAGCCACATCAGCCCATTCCTGTCTCCTCCATTACCTTGCTGGGAGCTTCTGGGCACACACTAGCATCCATGGGTCTTATTGCTGCTGCTGTTATTCATTCATTCATTATTTATTTATTATCTGTTTCTCTCACTAAAATATAAGTTCCATAAGAAAAGGAATTTTCATTGGACCTATTCACTGGTATATTCACAGTGCCCAGAAATGGCTGGCATCCAGGAGACACTCAATAAATATTTGAGGAAGGAATGAATAAAGACACTGTCCTTTGGCTTCCAAAAAGTAGTGTTCTCTTTGATCACTGTTTGTTCATTTAAAGTTTTTTTGTCCTCTCATCACAGACTCAGATTTTAGTCAAATAACTTTAGTATTGTTTTTTCAACCTGCGCTAGGGTTTGTTGTGTGGCTCAAAGTAAAATCTTTTATGATAATTTCTGACACCACTTCAGTGTGTAAGTAAATTGCGTCTTCCTATAATGAATCTGCCTCTCACTTTTATTAGCTGCAGTAATATTCTAATCACTCTGTGCTGCAGTCTCAAAAAAGGAAGAGGGAGAGTTCTAGAAAAACAGTTGTTTTCTCTTCCCGATAGAAAATATTTGAAACTAAAGGTGCTATAAAAGAAACTCTCAATAGTGTGGATGTGTGCACACACTCTCACACACACATGTTCACACACACACACACATACCCATCCAATCTTTTTAATATTCTGCAGAGAGGCAAGGATATTTCTGGGAAGATGTGGGAAGAAGAGCCCAATGCAATCTCACAGGACTCCCAGGCCTGATTCACAGACAACACTTCAGCGGAATTGAAAATGGAACAGATTATGAGAAGGCAGAAAGGTTTCCAGAGATACAGGATGAATGACAGGAGATACATCAAT